CCGGGGGCTGGCAGACATAAGGGAGAGAGGTTGCTCAAATCCTCCGTGAGCACAAGAGGAGAGCTGCGGAGCAGTTAAAGCTAACGGCCCAGAGCTGATGCTGAAGGGCTCTCTATCACCCAGGCCAGTGGCCTCTTCTGCAGGTTATAAAGCATCCCATGACTAGAGCTTTTTTAAGGTCTCTGGTCTTCCAAGCTCCCAGCACTTTGTACTACGCAGGGCATAAATCCCTGTCGCCTTGGCCATGCTTTGCTGCTCCTCCCCTGGGGACGGAGGGTTTGGCTGGAGGGGACTCTTCCCCTGGGCTGTTACCACCTCTGCTGCAGCCCTGTCCCCCGTGGCGTGGGGGGATCTCTGGGAGGGGCTGTGGGCCCCAGGTTGCCCTCGGGGCTGACCTGCACGTGCGGGGCACTGTGCCGAGCCCCTTCCCAGCTCGGTGTGCGGGAGCGAGCGGGAGCTGTGCATCCAGACAAAGAGCTGAGACAGCCGCCGGCTTCAAAGGGGCCAGGAGCCGGCAGGGAGAGCTTGGCAGTGTTCGCTGCCTGATTTCCAAGTGAAAGGGAATAAATAATGAGAGGAAATCCTCCTGTCTCACCTTCCCTCACAGCTCTTACCCCCTGCCACCTCAGGCTGGCTGCAGCCGGCTCCCATGCAGCCCCATGGCTTGTCCCCGATGTGCCCCCAGGAGCCTGGCACGGCTGGTGCAGCCCCTGAGGATGTGCTCTGGGTCCCACACCAAATGGGGCCCAGACCTACCTCGGTTTTTCTTGCTTCTGCTCCCTGATACTGTCCCAGAGCTGGTGGCCTGTCCCTCATCACTGGCAAGGAAACACTGGCAGGCTGTTTCGGAAAGCAGTGGGTGCTGGCCCTGCACCCCCCGGCTGCCTGCCCACAGCTCCGGGGAGCAGCTCTGCAGGGGATGCTCTGCGGGAGAGGAGCTGCATCTCTGCCCCTGTGGGCCCTGCAGCCAGCGGGTCCAGCTGTGCCCTGGGGAGGGTGGCTGCTGTGCGGGCTGGCCCACGGGTGCAGGAGAGGTGTGTGAGGACGGGACAGAAGGGCGCTTTGGGGTGAAGAGTAAAGCAGAGACCAAGATGGGCTGTGCTGGTGGGTGCTCAGTTGCTCTGTAGTTCCCCCTTCCACCCTGTCACCTCGTAGGACAGGTGATGGGCATTGTGCAAAGGCCCCAGGACCTGGTCCCTGTGCTGTTCCTGAGGTGACTTCCAGGGCCTGATACTCTCGAGGTCTCTCAGTGGATGGAGAAGACGTAGGAGGGAAATGACACTAAGGGCCAGGGCTTGCCACATCTCCTTGGATTACTCTGATGGGCTGTGCACCACCCACGGTTCCCACAGCAGGGAAGGAAGCGAGGTTGGGCTGGAGTCTTATGGAAAAACAAGCAGTGAGAGCACCAACCCCAGTGTGTCCCAGGACCTGTTCCCATCAGGGCACGGCTTCATGTCCAGGCCAGGGAGTGGAGATGGCTCATCATGGAGAAGGCTGTGCCCCAAGGCGTGGAGAAGACCTCTCCCCAACCGTCCCTAGGGCATGCCCAACTCTTTACAGTCTTGTTCTTGGCTTCCCAACACCATGTGAGAGTCAAATGGAGGGGCTGAGCCCCACCCAGGTGCCATGGGTCCAGGAGGGGATGCCACGGACCCTCCTGGGCTGCTTGTGCAAGGCAGGTGGGGGCTGCAGGGGTTCCCCTCCCTGCACTGGGGTTTCCTCTGGGAGTGCCCAGCCCTGGCTGGCTGCGCAGCACCATCCTGCACCCCGCCACAGCCCAACACTGACATCTTGTGGTGCTGGGGGAAGGCTCCAGCGCGTCTGGTGGGAAGGGAAACCCTCCGAGATGCAGCAGAGGTGGGCTCAGAGGTCTCGGCCGGGCCCTGGACTAGACCTGCCTGCTGGTCCCTTGATGGGTGCATGTCCTCCCCCCACAGTGTGCGGCTGCGACCTGGCCCAGTCAGGCTTCTTCTTTAAGAACCAGGAGTACATCTGCACCCACGACTACCAGCAGCTCTACGGGACCCGCTGCGACAGCTGCGGGGACTTCATCACCGGAGAGGTCATCTCTGCCCTGGGGAGGACCTACCACCCCAAGTGCTTCGTCTGCAGCACCTGCAGGTGAGCTGAAGCCACCACTGAGGGCACGCAAACCCCCTGCAGAAGCCCCATGCAGCCCTTGGCCATGCACGGGGAGAGGGCCGTTCATTAGCCCGCAGCCCCTCATTCCCCGCTCAGCAACACAGCAGGCGCCTCCTCTGCATTTTCTTAGTGGAAACCCTTGGGAAGCAATAAGATGGCTCCAACTCTTCCCTTTGCAGCGTGGAGACCTGCCTTAACGCCTTCATTGGTCCTCTTGCCCCGGCACGCGTTGCACACTCCCTGCCTCCCCTTGTAGCCCTCACCTGGAGCCCCTCCGCTCCCCGGCACCATGGGTCCCGCTGGCCCCTGGGAAAGGAGCTCACGGGCAGCCCCAAGCGCTGTGTGGAGAGGAGGGAGCAGCTCACACCTCCCCACCTTTTCCTTGGCTGCAGGAAGCCGTTTCCCATCGGAGACAAGGTCACATTCAGTGGGAAGGACTGTGTTTGCCAAAACTGCTCCCATTCTCTCATCAGCACCAAACCTATCAAGATCCACGGGCCCAGCCGTAAGTTGACTGCTCTTGTGTTAATGTGAAGGCTGCAAGGAGAGGGACCGCCTGTGCCTGGACCAGTGCTCGGGGTGGTGACGGGATGGCCTTTGGGGCCAGCGTGCAGCGCTGCACGGAGGCACGGGTGTTCGCAGAGGTTTTGGAGGAGGAACAGGGTAGTCTCATGGCTCCACCCGGGATTGCAGGTCACCGCTGGTTTCGGAAACTCCCTTGGCCTGTTTGTGACCTGGGCGGGTGCCGCCACCCCAGCGGGTGCTGTCTGGGGCAGTGGGGAGATTTTGGAGCTGGGTTTGCTCTGAGGCGGTGCCCATATGTTGCTTTGTGTCCAGCTGCACCAAGTTCTCTGTCCGAGTGCCAGCCCCGGGACCGCTCGCCCGGCTTTCCCAACACTGGCATTACTCGCTGCCTCTACAGGCACTGAAAAGGCTTCTTACACTCACCCCCTTGCACTGATAACCTAAGCTAAAACTCAGCAAGAGCAATGGAAAGGCTCTTTTAGGATTTGGCCTTGGTTTTGAGCCCAGGTTGTTCCTTGGGATAGCCCCTCTTCATGCCATTCCCCTCTCATGGGGCTTTGCCCCCCCAGACTTCCCTTGCTGCTGGCTCTCTGCCTCGGGCCACTGCAGAGCATCCAGTGGGTGCTGTGCTTGGGGGCTGGTAGAGCATCCTGCTGCACGCAGGGCTTGCTTCAGCCCATGTCCAGAGCGAGGGGACTGCAGTGTTAACGTCCATGCTCCGCTGTCTCCCGTATGCCACGTGTTTGCTGCTGTCAAGTCCCAGGGGACTGTCTCAGCGCAGTGCGTGGGCAGGTGGCAGAAGGCAGGGACAGCCAGGAGCTGTGCCACACCACGGTGCCCAAACCCGGCCACGTCAGCGGGCTGAGCCGTGGGGGGGCCGGGCGGGGGCCCTTGCTGCTGCGCCTCAGCAAGCCTTGGATCATCAGTGCCTGGAGCCGAGCCCTGCAGCCAGGGCTAGACCCAGGACCATGGTGTCACCCATGGTCCTTGTCAACCTGTCACCATGGTGGCTGTTTGGATTGAGTTTACGGGTTGGTGCTGACAGGTCCCTGGGAGCTCCCCCAAGCTGCCTCCCCCCAGCTGTCACCATGGCCTCGGTGCAGTTAGGGGACGTGGCGGGGGTTGAATGAGCCCCGGCCAGAGGGCGGGGTTTCCCCGGCCCT